GGGGGGGGGGGGGGGGGGGTTGCCAGTGAGCTCAACAAAGGATCTCTTTTAGGGACAGGTGAGGTTCTAAGGCAGGACATCATCTCAGAGCAGCTACAGTGGGATATAGATGTACAGAAACTGAGAAAGGGTGAGGCCGGGGGTGGGGTGCACAGTTGTCATAAGGGTGACATTTGATGCGATCGACAGAGAGTCAAACAGACATGGTTAAAGAACAGACAGCTTCTTTATGCAAAGGATACAGAAGCCTCTGTTCGGAATCCACCGCACAAAGCAGGGGACCAGCATGCGGCATGCTCTCACGTGGAGGGACTGTGTCCTGGGCTGCCTGCAGGCTCCCAGCTCACAGTGTGGTCCCTGCTGGCAGCATCAGCCTGACCTGGGAGCTTGTGAGAAACGCAGACTCTCAGGCCCTGCCCAAGATCCACTGGATTGGAATCTGCATTTTAACAAGACCCCCAGGTGGTCTGTGTGCTCATTAAACTTTGAGTCTCACTGCCCTGAGAGTCCTCAAAGGGTTGTACAGCTGCTGGCAGCCCCGCCTGTGCAGAGTGGGATGGCCACCAAGCCTGAGAAGTGCTCATCGCCCTTCCCTCCAAACTCAGGTGTCTTCATACCCCCCAACCTATCCGCGAGAGGCTGCCACCTCCCCGGGTGCAAGCAGCTGGGCCAAAATGGTTGCCGTAGGAGTTTGTTCTTACATTTTACCCGAGACTGCAAGGTCAGTTTCCCACATATATGGCCCTTAACAGGATGGAGCTGCCAAGATTTTAAAGTCACTCTGAACAGTGCCTAGGGTAGGCAGGGAGGAGGAATGTAAGGCCAAGCTTGCCACCCTTAAGGGACGCACTGTGTCCTTGAGACCCTGGAGGTCAGCAGGTGACAGCAACAAGGATAGGAGGAGGAGGAGGTGACCTCGCTACACAGGCGCACAGGTGGTCAGGTGGAGATGGGACACTTGTCCAGATGCTGCTCTGAGCTGCTGCTGAGTTTCCCAGCTACCACAGCACCATGATGCTTGTAGGCATGTGTGTTTCGGGCATGTTCATTCCACAGGCGTGTGTGTGCGTGCCAGGTTACGGCAGTCATGTCGTGGCTAAGTGGTCAGGTTAGAACAGATTTCAGCCAGCACGAGTGTTGTTGACACTCATGTGCTTTTCTACCTTACAATACCCCTCAAGTTACTGAGTTCCTCCGATAGCATGGCCAGCACGATACCAGACAGTTGTGCAGGAAGAGGAAGAACAGGGACGTGGCCCCATCTGAGATGCTTCCAGCCTGGTTGGAGAAAGAGTTCACCCTTCAGAAACTATCAGGGCATGAGGTCCAACACCCTATAATCCCCGGTAAGGTCTTGGGTGCTGTTGCCTGGGGTGCAGATACGCAGCATGGCTTGGTGTGAAGGATGCTGGGCCAGGCATCCTGAGACTGGGCCACGTCCCAAACCTCAGTTCCATCTTCTGCCACGGGAAGAATATTCAGAGTAACTGGGAGGGTTAAATGAGGTAAAGCTCATGGTGGGTCCTCAGCAACATCAGCTGACCAGCCTTGCAGAAGAAAGCATGCAGGGTCCTGTATTCATTTGCTAGGGCTGTCGTCACCACAAGCTGGGTGATGTAAACAATGGAAATTTGTCATCTCACTGTTCTGGAGGCTGGAAGTGTGAGATCTAGGTGTCTGCAGGGTTGGATCCTTCTGAAGCTGTGACGGAGAATCTATTCCAGGCTCTCTCCTTGACTCTCTCTCTTTGGCTGTTTTGTCTTCCCCTGACATTCTCGATGTGTGTGTGTCTGTGTCCAAATATCTCCTTTTGATAAGGATACTAGTTGTATTGGATTAGAGTCCACCATACTGACCTCATTTTAACCTGTCACCTCTGTAAAGACCCTTTCTCCAAATAAAGTTACATTCTGAAGTACTGGGGATTAGGACTTCAACATGTGAATTTTGAGGGTCCAATTCAACCCATAAAGGGCCCCTTTAGGGTTCATGAAGGGAGTGGATCTTAGATCTCACAAGGTTAGAAATGTGGGGTCCGGGAAGGAGGAATAGCACTGATAGGCCAGTTAGGAAGAAGTTCGCAGGTTTCCGGTGGTCTGCCGTTAGTGACAGAACTGTGTGGTTGTCCCTGCAGGCCTGGGAGACATGGCTGTCTCTAACACCATAGGAAGCAATGTGTTTGACATCCTCGTAGGACTCGGCATCCCATGGGGCCTGCAGACCATGGTTGTTAATTATGGATCCACGGTAAGTTCTCACCTCTTGAGCAAGCAAGATGGACGCATTTTACAGAGAAGGGCACTGGCGGTGGCCCAGTTCCAGCCAGGGCTCTGGGAGGTGCGCTGCTGCCCCTTCTGCTTGGCACCCTGGCACCTGCTTTCCATGAAGGCCTCCAGGACAGCCTCGGGGTGTCTTCTGCTCCCCAACTTAGCCCACGGGCACGCCTGTCCCCAGCCATTTCCTCAGAGAAGCAGAGTCCAGACTTGAATCCCCATTTCCCTGACCCTCCGTGGCCATGTGCTCACCTGTGAATACCTGTGTTTTCCTGGGGAGGGAATGAAAAAGCCGGAGCACACAGGGGTTGGCCCTGAGCAGCCAAGAGGTTCAGGGCCCATATGTTTGCTTTTCCAGGTGAAGATCAACAGCCGGGGTCTGGTCTATTCTGTGGTGCTGTTGCTGGGCTCTGTCGCTCTCACTGTGAGTTTTTACAATTCTGGAACAGAAGCTCATGCATACTTCATTTCATCTGGCTCTGCCCCATCACTTCCCCCGGCAGTGAGGGATGAAGCCGAGGAAATGTATAGTTCGCAGATAACCCCAAACCCAAGCTTTGCCAAGAGCGTCAGCACCGACCACTATGTTTTTTCCTGAGCAGATAGGAAGTCACCAGAGGAAGTGAATTACATTTCCTTTCTTCTTGCTGCCTTGTCCACTCCCTCTCGTTTGTCCCTGACAAATGGGAGGCACAACAGCCTCAGGATGACACGCGATGACACCCAAGGTCCCCCTGCTCCCTGTGCCTGGGTCGGTGCTGAGCACTTCAGTTCTGTAGTACTTATTCTGTCCTCACAACCACCTGCTGAGGAGGGACTACTGTCATTCCCATTTTGCAGAAGTGAGGCTCAGGGGTTAAGTAACTTGCCTAAGGTCCCAGAGTGAGCAAATGGCAAAGCTGGGATTTGAACCTAGGTTGGTCTGTCCTTATAGAACCCACGGCTTTTTACCCTCTATGTATGTGCTGATGAAGTAACTGTGCTGCGGCCGCTTGAAAGCTGTTTGTCCCTGAGGAAGTGGCGTGCCTGCCTGGGGGAGAGGGGGTCAGCCCCATGAGGGCGGCTGCTATTATAGAACCCACGGCTTTTTACCCTCTATGTATGTGCTGATGAAGTAACTGTGCTGCGGCCACTTGAAAGCTGTTTGTCCCTGAGGAAGTGGCGTGCCTGCCTGGGGGAGAGGGGGTCAGCCCCATGAGGGCGGCTGCTGTATGTCGCAGGAGTCAGCAGGGAGGGCCAGTGACTGGGTCCTTCCTGGTGCACATCTAAAGCCTCCACCGGCTCATTCTGCCCAAGCCAAGGCTGGGCCTGGCCGTGCCCCTCTGCTCTTGTCCACGTCCTACAGGAAGTCCCGGCTTCCTAGCTCGTGTGCCGACGTTGCCCAGTAAAATGCCTTTTGCATTTCTTTGCCCCCAAGCCCAGCTCTTGCACTCTCGCCCTCCAGGTCCTGGGCATCCACCTGAACAAGTGGCGGCTGGACCGGAAGCTGGGCATCTACGTGCTGGTTCTCTACGCCGTCTTCTTGTGCTTCTCCATAATGATCGAGTTCAACGTCTTCACCTTCGTCAACTTGCCGATGTGCCGGGAAGACGACTAAAGCTGAGCCGATGCCCCCAGGAGCTGTCTGACCACCTTGTGACGCTGGCATCCTCCTCTCTCCCTCCTTCCCCTGTCACGGGTCTCTCCTGCATTGGCAGCCACCGTCTGTTCTTTCTTACACTGGAAGGAAGAGCTATCGTGGTCTTTGGTCACAGGCCAGGCTGCGGGGATCCTCCTCTTCCTTGGAGTTCTGCCCCACAAGGCAGGATTTGGGGTCGTTTTGTGAACAGCTTCACGGACCCACTGAGCTGCCAGCCACAGGAATGTGTCAAGCATCTCGTCTCTGTTCTGCACATTGAGTCAAAAGGACTTCTGTGTGCAGTTTGTCTTTTTGTCACGTGGGCAACCTCGAAAATGAGGTGGTCAGTGAGCATGAGGTCTCCTGGGGCAATGTTCTCAAGTGTCGCCTCTGGGCCACAGGGGTGAGTTTCTGAGCATGTGCTACTAAGAGCCTCCAACTTCGTGGGAAGCACCCACAGTTTGGAGGGGGCAAGGCCTCCACCTGTTAGGGGCTTGGGACCATGGTGGCAGACATTCCACCCCTCTTTCTGGAAAAATTGGAAGAATGGAAACAATTTTTTACAGCAGAAGAGAGAACACGAGTGATTATTCTTATCACTTTTATTGATGCATTCAGAGAATGAGCAATGAAATATTCAAAATAAAACATGATATAGATCATCATACTTGAAAAATATCATTCCATACAAAAGGACCACAAAGGTAATGCTTGTAGAATGCGTCCTCTGTGTATCACCTTGCATTCGCACTAAGACGTTTGGTTTGGAATATAGAAAAAGGTGAATGACAGACATTGAAATGGGTGCTAACTCAGACAGTGGAGATCGTACTTTACAGTTACACATTCCAGACCTGTGTGATATGCACTGTCTGTTTGGGTTTGTCATTTCTTTGTTAATGCTCCAGTTTCAAAACCACCCTGTTGAAAGACCCAATTGTTTATATGCCCAACAAATTTCATAGCCTGCTGAACCACAATGAGTGTGCCAGAAGTCGTGGTTAATGACAGTAAGAAAGATGTCCTGAAAACAGTGAATTGCTCTCTGGTTAGCTTAGGCACATCTGAAAACTATAACTTAGAATTTTTAGAACTAAGTTTCTTGAACCTTATAGTTTGCTTACATACGAAAGGCCAGAGATGGGAGGCTGATTGAAAAATAGATATGAAACAACTGTCGACTGTTTCACAGCGCTAAAATATGTATTTAAAAGATTTATGAATACAAACCATTTATGGTTTCTAAAAAGAAAGCACAATTAATTTTATATAGAGGTTTTTTTATTTTTTTAATGTTTCTATTGCAAAAGTCTATCAGATTTGATGCACTTTTAATCTTGGGATAGTTTGCACAGAAGAATGTATGGGAACTACCCATGATGATGTGAGAGGAAAGGAACTTTTTATTGATTCACCGGAAATCTCTTTAAACTTGGTGATGAGTTTAAATCCAGTAGCTAATCCCTTCCTAAGACACAGATCGTGATCTACATTGAAACTCGTGACTGTGCTCTTTAAGGCCTTCTGAATTTCTAAAGGAGGAAGTGTTCGAGCTTGTGTCCCTTAAGTTGCCTGTAGCTTGGGCCTGCATTGGGACCTTACTCATCGCCAGGCTTCTGTTCAGGATTCACATCAGTATTAGTAGCTACACCCAGCCAAGGTTTCTCTTTGTGTTTCTCTACCTAGAAATAGGGCTCAGTGGTCTTCAAGTTTAGGACAAGGGTGATTTTCTAAAAAAATGAGCTAAGTGGGAAGCCAGGGATTATGTAGGTTCATCAGTATAAACTTCAGCTGCAAGGGATTTCACAGCCCTCGGGACCACTCTCTGCTCTGCTAGCTCAGTTCACCTTGCCCCGCTCCCCTGCAATTTTACAGACTCATCCAGGCTGTAAAGTGATTCTGTCTCTGTTTTGATTCTTCAAACTGCCCTGTGATGTAAGGAGGGCCTATTCTCCACATCGAACAGAAAATACAGTCTCAGGTCAAGTGACTCTAGTTTAATGGCCAGTAAGTAGCAGAACTGGGCAGAGCAACAGCCCATCACCCCTCCGCGGGCGGTCCACATGGGTTGGCCATCCCTGGGGAGTGACTTCTGCTTGCTTCTTATTGTTTGTGTCAAAACCTCATTAATATTTAATTGATTCCTGGGTTCTCCAGGTCATATGTTAATATCTGTCCCTATCCAGTGTCCCTTTTGTTTCCTGAAAAAGAACAGAATCTATTTTTAGCTAGGGCAAGGCAGAAGCCACACGGCCCCTGATAATGATCCGCTGGTTTTCTTTTTTTTTAAAAAAGATGACTGGTAAGGGGATCTTAACCCTTGACTTGGTGTTATCAGCACCGCACTCTCCCAAGTGAGCCACAGGCCGGCCCCTATGATCTGCAGGTTTTCAATGCTCTGAATTCGTGTGGCTTTCAGAGAGCAAGTCCTAATTACCCTGCTCTTCCTCAGCAGAATCCTTTTGAGATTATAAAATATACTGAGGTGGCAGTTAGAGACTAAAACATTGTTTTTAATATGTAGCGTGCTCCTCTTGGCTAATTTTCTTTTGACTTTAATGTGCCAATGTAACTTCCGTAAAGGACCTATGCATTTATGATATCTAGGAAACTACACTCTAGGTGAAAAATTCTTTTTTAACTAGGTATTTTTCCATCACGGGTTTAAAGAACTGCTTGATTAGGCCTTCGTTTTAACATTATGCTTTTATCACTACGCAGGGTTACTTCCTCTATTTTATTCCCAAAGCTAATTAGCATGGTGTAATTACTCTGCTATGAAAATAGGCAATTAGAAATCTTTAGTTCTCATTAGGGGCAGAAAAGAAAAATGAACCATTGCACTTGGATAGAAAATGTCTACAAAAGCAGGAGCGGGTAGTTCCTGTTGACTTCTGGTTTGGAATTTGCCTCTACCAGCCTGAACGTGGTCAGGATGGGAGGTGTGTGCTATCTTGAGAACCTGGCCCTGGAGGAAGGTTCTGGGTTTGTTGCAGTGAGAGACTGATGGTTAAGGGCACAGCGAGCAGGTCAGAGTCAGCCCCACCCCACACCCCCATCTTTCCTGTAACCCACAGTCTCCTGGCCCTCCCGCGTCTCCCCCTTACCACCTGTGTCTCCACCTCTTGCACAGAGTTTTCATATGCTTATGACCCCTCACCTGTTAGGGCTATTTCCTGCTTTTACCCTGTTAATCCCCTGCCTTTACAGACCCAAGCAACTGAAAAGTCACCAGCTCTCCCTGAGCCAGGCTAAACCAGGTGGGTGTAAATATCACCCAAGGCAGTCTTGCAGGCCACCACCAAAGACCTTCTCATGGGCTGCCCAGAGTCTAGGTCCTATGGGAAGAAACTGCCTGCTCTTCCCTATTAATGATGATTTGCAAACCTAACAGCATCAGCAGGAGCCCACCTCTCGGAGAATACTGGACTCCCCAAGCAGGCCAAGAACTCGGGAAGGGCTAGTGGGTGGCATCTTTGCCTGATTCCCATCTTTCCTCTTGGACTTTCCTCTCCCTGAGTCCTAAGGCCCCTCTCTCTCCTTAAATAAGGGGTGAACAGAGGCAAGAGGAACCGGAAGAGGGTTAGTTTATACTCCCTGAGAAAAGTGGGGGAGAATTGTTGACCCAGTAGCTAAGGCTGCTTCCCATGCCCTGCCCTCCCGCCTTTCCTCCTTCCATCCCTCCTTCCATCCCCAGGTATGACATGGGCTAGTGGGGTGTAAGTTATTGGGACTGTGGGGGTCTGTGGCTACCTTTTGGAATTTTTCCCTTGTGGCTCAGCAGGAGTGAAGCAGAGACTTTCCCACCCTGGCTCAATGAACTGTGTGCTGAGACTGCTGAATGGGCCCTGGGGGGAGGGGTGGGTCTCTTCTCCTGCCCCCACTTTTCCTTCCCTGCAAGCCATGCCCCTCCCTGGTAGAAAAGGCAGCTGTGTTATGTACATATAAGTGATAGGCTCTTGGCAAATGCTTGTTGCTTAAATACGCAACTTGCCTGTTAGCGTTAAAATCCTCATGAGTTTGTACCCATATGCAGCACTTTAAGTATTCACCAGTCTTCTAATGCCCCCTGAACATGGTTTCCATGGGAATCACCCACCCCTGGGGACAGTTAGCAGATGCATCCAGGCACCTGAGATGGTTCACTTCTTGGCAGCTTCATTGCCACATCCTGCCCTTAGAAACTTCTGAAAATGCTCTGTAGAGAGTTCTTGAAAGGCAGGAGGTCTGTCATCCCCCACCTACCCCTGGACCCAAGGCGCTGTCTCTCTGGCCCTCTGCTCCGTCTATGCGGACTCACCCAGAGAACACCTGGCACCACACTGGGTGCGAGCACCTACTCAGGATTCTCTGGTCTCTGCAGCTCATTCCCTGAACCCCTCAAGGGTGAAGCCTCCCTTGGGACTTCTCAATGCATGGAGAAGGGGCCCCTCCTGCACTTTGGGTGAATCCTCCCCACTATGTCAGTTATGGAGTAGATGGTCTTCTCATGGGCCCATTCCACAAGGCAAAGAATGTAGGATTTTGTTGCTCTCTTTGAGCCATAGCCTTTAGCCAACCCGGCTCCATTGGGGGCCCTTTGCCTTGCTGCAGGGAACTGTCCCCCAAAGGGTATATTCCAAAGGGTACAAATTTGAAAAAGGTATTTTGATGTAGATGGTTGTGGGCTTGGCCAGTTAGCTCAGTTCGTTGGAGAACAGCCTTGTAACACCAAGGTAACCGGTTCAGTTCCCCATAACAGCCGGCTACCCCGTATTTTGATGTAGATGGTTGTGGGCTTGGCCAGTTAGCTCAGTTCGTTGGAGAACAGCCTTATAACACCAAGGTAACCGGTTCAGTTCCCCATAACAGCCGGCTACCCCAATAATCAACCCCATTGTATATCAACAAAATAAAATTTAAAAATAATAATAATAATAATAATACATGTCACAATTATCCCACTGCTCAACTCCCTGTCTATTCCACTGGCTGCCTGATTTATATATGTTTTATGATTCTTTGCCTTGGCACATTCTTCTTCATCTTCCTGGAATGGCCTTCCCCTAACTCTGAATGTACCAACTCCTCATTCTTCACCATTCCATGGAGTCCTCTCCTACTCCAGGAAGTCTTCCCTGGCCCCCGACCACCGCAGGCAGTCCCAGTTAGAGTCTTTCTGATGTGTTGCCTCAGGGCCAGGATGCAGTGAGCGTTTATGCATAGTAAGCACTTATGACTGGGTAACTTGGGCCAGTCTTTTAAGGTCTCTAAGCCTCAGTTTCCCCTATAAAGAGGAAATATATATTTTCCTATAAAGAGAAATAACAATGATACTTAGTGGGTGGGGCTGTTAGGGTAATCGGTAAGAGAAGTTTTGCAAAACACTTAGCACAAAGATTCACATTTTGTTAGCGCCCAGTTACCTGTGTCATACTGTGTTATAGTTACTTGTTTACTTATCTGTCTTTTCCACCTTCCCCAATTATGACTGTCTGAAGAACAGAACTAATTGTTTGATCTTTGTGTCTTGGTTCCATGTACAGTTTCTGTCACATGATGCTCAGTAAATGTGTATTGGATGGGCAAATGGCTAGGTGAATAGAAGGATGGATGGATGAATAGAGAGCGTGATATATTCAGTAATGTTGTGGTTACACAAAAAGTTTAATTGACCTTTGTGTTCATGCTTTAAACCAGAAGTCAGCAAACTTTTTCTATTATGGACCAAATGGTAAACATTTCAGGCTTCAAGGATCATTGAGTTTCTGTTGCAACTATTCAAGCCAACTGTTGTAACAAGAAAGCAGCCAGAGACAATCCATAAACAAGTGGGCTGACAAGTAACTGTGTTCCACTCAAACTTTATTTATAAAAAATAGGCAGCTGACTCAATTTGGCCCATGGGCCATAGTTTGGAAACCCCTGTTTTAAACTTCTAAATAAGGAATAGAGTACTAGTTTTACTAGACTTATATGAGAACAACAATAATTTTCATCTATGTGGTAAATAAAACAAAAATAAATAAATAGAAATAACTGTTTAGTTAATTGGAAGGAGGCTGGTTATAAAGAGTAGATTCAGATGAATAAAAGAAATTCAAGAAAGAACATGTATCTGTACAAAAAAGGAAGAAAGTTCGTGTATTTTTTCATCACTTGCTAATGACAGTTACAGGTTAAGAAATGTTTTTTAAAATTCATCTAAGGCGTGATATGAAGTTGTACAAGTCTGAAAATTTCCTAATAGGTGGCAAGAAGACCTCTCTAATTAAGCTTATGTAATCAAATCCCAGGTTTTCTGATGCTTGGGAAATGTGCAGGATTCTGAATGATCATGCTGCCTGGAACGAGTTTGCCAGAGCTTGTCTACACCACATGGAAGTGGAGTTTGCAATCCGCATTTATCGGACAATTGGAAATGTTGGCATAGTGATGTCCTTGGAACAAATAAAGGTAAACAGCATTTTATTAGAATTATCAGATTAAGATTTAAATGCTATTTATTCAAACATTTTAAATTTCTGCAGTTAATCTTACCTAACTTATAAACAGGTGAATTGATAGAACATTTTCACTTCTTACTGAGCAAAGTATTTTTTTTAAAAAAAGTTAAACATTTGTATTTCTTCTCATCAAAACTGCTTATATTTGTAGGGAATAGAGGACTACAATCTTTTGGCAGGACACCTCGCTATGTTCATTAATGATTTCAACCTGGCTCAGGACCTCTACCTGGCATCCAGCTGTCCCGTTGCTGCTCTGGAGGTATGGCAGCAAAGAAGGATGGCAGGAACACGCACAGGAGGACAACCCCCATGTCTAGTTCAACTTTCTCAGTACCAAATACCACACAACTTCCCCTTCCTAGAATTTGAACATTTCAGCTTTAAGAACCCCTCAGTACTCACTAACTTCAAAAATGTTTTCATTCTGGTGTTCTGTGGAAGCATAAAAGGCATGTATTGTAACATTACTAAATAGTTTAAAATGTAAATGTGTCCAAAGAGAACAGATTTTGTAATTTGCAAAAACATGTTCAAAGAAAATTGGCCACAATTTAAGCACTTGACATATATTATTAACTCATTTAATGCTCACAACAATGCTGTGAGAGTACTATTATTTTCTCTGTTTTCCAGATGGGAAAACTGAGGCACATTTATCTTTTACTTATTGTGTGAAATTCTCTTATGTATTGAGGCGAGCTAAGGTCTAGTTTCCCAGAGGTGAGTATTGCACGAGAGAGGCTAGAACAGGGTGAAGGACCTAATTCAAGGGCATGGAAGGAGACATGGCAATATAGAATAGCTTTTGAGAGTATGAACTTTAGAGTTGGACATGTCTGGGTTCAAACTTCAGTTCTGTGTAACCTTGGACAAGTTATTTAATCTTTCTGAGCCCTAGATCCTGCTTCTTTAAAGTAAGGATAACAACATCTAGCCCACAGGGTAGTCATAAAGATTTTAAAATGAGAATTAGATCTTTCAGCATAGTGTCGGATCAATAGTAAAGACACAGAAATGGTAGCTATTGCAATTATTGATGTTATTTCTGCAACAGTATAAAAGGTTGTTTTGAAAACATGCTTGTTATTAATTTTACAACTTTCCCTTTTCAAAATGTTCTACAGAAGATTTTTGTTTTTGGGCCGGCCCTGTGGCTCACTCGGGAGAGTGCGGTGCTGATAACACCAAGGCCAAGGGTTCGGATCCCACATAGGGATGGCCGGTTGGCTCACTGGGTGAGCGTGGTGCTGACAACACCAAGTCAAGGGTTAAGATCCCCTTACCGGTCATCTTTTGGAAAAAAAAAAAAAAAAAGATTTTTGTTTTTAAATTTTAAGTGAACCAAATTAATTTTAAGAAATAATTAGATAATTTTACCATATTATTTGAGACAATTAGGGACACCCTGAGATGTTTTCAAAACTTGGAGTGGTACTTATTGAAGCAGGAGTAATTGCAATAAGTGAGGGCAAAGACGTCATCTTAGCTCTTCTGCATTTAGCTGTGGACCCTTGTCATGTGCCACTTGATTTGAAAAGGATTGGAGGTAATGGCTTGAGAATAGACAGAGTAATTGCACTCTTTAATCTCACTTTGAAGGCTGATGAGTTGACTAGGTTAAGAGGTCAGAGGCAGAACCCTACTGCCCAGCTCTGCCACATACTTGCTCTGTAATCTTGTTATGCAAATTTAGCCTCTCTTTGCCTGTTTCTGGATCTCTAAAATGGGTACAAGGAAAGTTTGTTGCAAAAGGGTAGTTGTGAAAAAAGTAAACAAGCTAACGCCCTAGAACAGTACCTGACAGAAAAGAGCACTTGAAAGATGTTAGCTATTATTACAAAGTATGAATAAAATGAGGAATGAATTTTAAAAGATTCTTTAATGAGTAGTTTATATTTGGAATTATGTAATAGACACAGGTGAAAGACCACAGGAACAAGGGAGAAAAACACATTTACATTTTATTTATGCTTGCTATTATTTATGTTGTAATATAGCTTCAGGTTGTCTAAGAAAAAAATATCAATTCCTGTAGTAAAGTGTTTCTTGACTTTTTATCACCCCTCTAAGAAAATTTAATTTTGATTTAATTGATTGATTAATTACATTCAAATTTAATTTCTCTCTACTGAAAAAAATTAAATACTAAGTAATAAGATTTTGTTAGGTAGGATTGGAGTTTCAGAGGGCCACAAACCACTGTCATAGCTAAGATTTTTTGTCCCCCCACCCCCACCCCCAGCGAATCAATTTTGCTCCCTTCAGTGCTCTATCACCTGCATAGAGAATGCATGTTATAGTGATATACTATCCTTGTAGAGATCATTTCATTATATAAACAGAAAGTTTTTGTAATCAGTTTTATTGAAAATGGCACTATATGGTGACTTTGCAAAGTAATTTGCTCATTTGATATTAAGATCCTTCTCTTCTTAACAGATGAGAAGGGATTTACAGCACTGGGACAGTGCTCTACAACTGGCAAAGCGTTTGGCCCCAGACCAAATACCATTTATATCAAAAGAATATGCTATTCAGCTTGAATTCACGTAAGTCCTCATTTTTATATGTTTCAGTCAGTAGCTAATTACTGCATATGTTCGGTTCCAAACTTCCATTAATGATAAGGCCCTCCATTGACTTAATAACTGCTTTTTAGGGGAAAAAACTGTATTAATTATACATCCAAAAAATGTTTTCTCTGACTAATGATGTCTTATCCGTGCATGTATCCACTTTTAATAGTCAGTATCAAAATCTAAGTTTGGGTCTAATCCTTTTCTGCATTTAGAGTCTGAATATTGTTTTGAATCACATTTGGCCATCAACAATTATACATAGCATCAGGGTGACACACTGCTTTTCATAACCTAGTCTAATCCTTTTCTGCATTTAGAGTCTGAATATTGTTTTGAATCACATTTGGCCATCAACAGTTATACATAGCATCAGGGTGACACACTGCTTTTCATAACCTGTGTTCATGATCCTGACCTCTTTTAACACTTTGTTAGTTATATCGCATCACCTTCCAATCAGTAGCTATGAGCTACTGATTTTGACACATAGGGACTTAGCTTGTGCTCACTTCCAACTGTCTGTTTCATTTATGCATACAAGACCTCGATTAGGTCAAAACAGGGCCAGTCTGACAAGTCTGGGAGAGATTTAACCCTCCAGTCTGGGATTAGACTAATGAGCTAGATCCATATCAGAGTTTCAAAATAAAATATAACAAAGTAAGTGAGCTAAAATAATGTAAAAATAGTGAGAGTTCCAAAATCTTAATTTAGCATCTTCTAATTGAGCTTGCCGAAGGAAAACCTCAGGCTCCTGAAGGAGGAACTGTCATTCCTATTGTCAGGAGACAGACAACTCTAGCTCAATTACTGTAATTAGTAATTAGTAAAAATTATTAGAAATTTCCACTTAGGAAAGGAACATTGCTGACTGTGAAGCCCTGAGCTGACCAAAGCAAAGTTCTCAATCATCAGAACAGCTTCTCTTCCAAAAATTTCCTTGTACATGAGTAGATGATGAAACTGAATGAGGCTTAGAGAGGTATGCTAACTTGCCTAAGCTGATAAAGTAGAGATAAGGTAGATCTCAAGTAATGTCATTTTCAGAACTGATTATTTATTCTGGAGGAGATGGTTTCTTAGCAGAAAATGGATTTCAAGAAGGGTCTTAGGCAAATCACTGACTCATTCTCTCCCAAATAATGAAAATTAGTTGAGATAATAAATGTCTTCGGGATATGCAGATCTGTGTTAGCATGAGTCATGGGAAAAAGGAGTATTACTATTTATATCATGTATAACACTTTCTCTTAGAGTAAAAACCAGGACCCTCAATACTGTAATCCCAGTGTGTTCCTCCATTTCTACTCTAATAAATTGAGAGCAACCCAGATTCTTTCAATACATATTCTTCTTATAAATATTAGGTGTGAGGAAAAAAACATTGGTTTTTATGGTCATATGATTGTCATTTAGTGCCCCAAAGGAAATAATTAACCAAAAGTGACCCATAAAATTTAATGTAGCTCCCCAAAATGCATGGCGTGGCACACAGAAAGTATCTATAGTGTAGCATAACCCAGCTTAATAATTATTTTCAATGTAGCAAAATATGGACTACACTTTGAAAGACTTCATCTCTGTTGTTATCTCATCTTTTGTAAGCCTAAGCAACTCAGTGACAAATATTATCTTTTATATCTCTTATATGTAAATAAAATTCTTAAATATGTATTAAAATTCACTCTGATTTTTCTTTCAGGGGTGATTATGTAAATGCTTTGGCTCATTATGAGAAAGGAATAACAGGTGATAATAAGGTAACCTTGAATAAAGATAGGCACAATTATCTTCGGGTTTATTTTCAGTTTCATTTTAAAACATCATGGTCTTATTTGCATTGTATTTATTCAATATCTAGCAGTTGAGCCTTTTTTCAGTTCATTAACAACTTTGCAAGGATATAGTTAAATCATTTTAAAACACTTTAAACTCCTAAAAACTGAAGATGACAATATTTTTGTCAGTCTAAAAAATGTTTTCCATTGCATCCTAAATATGAGCTTCTGATTAAGATTTTTATACCTTCTCACTATGATTTTCATAAGGCTTTTCCTTTTGCTCTTTTAAAAAGTTTCAATAACCATTTTGAAAGTGCATTCCCAATCCATAAAAGTTTGTTCTGTCATTTCATCTCTCATGCTGTATCTTTTAAGATGAACCTGGAAGGCACATACCCACCCCATCCTCCTGTCCCAGAATTTTAGTTCAAAAGCTAAGTTTTACAATGAAAATTGTTGTTGTTAAGTTAGGTGATGTCTTGTAAAGGTTGAAAATCTTTTTATTTTCTGTTTTACATCTGGCATTTTTATTACAAAAGTAATGCAAGCTCATTATAACCAATTTTAAAAATCACCAAAGTATGTTACCATGAAAAGTGAGAGTCCAATGTTCTCTCCTCCATCCACACCCCTTAACGGTAACCACTGTTAGTGATTTTATATATTTCCATGCAGAATCTCTTAGTAGCATACAAATATGTACGTAATATGGATTTTTGCTGAAAATGAAATCATTCATTTCCATTCATTCAGCAAAGACTGACTGAATATACACTCGGTGCAAAGCAGCATTTTGCTTTGTTCATGGCATTTCAAAGTCAATCCATGAGTCTGTGTTAATCTTTTAAGAGCTTCTAATATTCCATTGTTTGAATGTAGCATAATTTTTTTATTCACTCCCTTATTGAATTGTAGTTGTGTGGTCTTTTTTGTATTATCAAAAACACTGCAATATTCTACTGTTTGTATCTTTAGCTGCCTACAATAGTATTTCTGAAGAATATATTCTTCTAAGTGGGATTTCTAGGTTATAAACTGAGCTTTTAATGTTTGATATTGCTAAATTGCTCTCCAAAAGAAATTGTAATAATTAATATACACTGTGTCTATTATAATGTCAATTTCTCCCACATTCTCAGCAACACTGAATGTTATCAATTATTTTATCTCTGCTAATTTGATAAGCAAAAAAACAAGTTATTTCATTTTATTTTATGCATATTTGATTATTAGTGAAGTCGAGCATTTTTTTATTTTTTATTTTATCAATATACGATATAGTTGATTTTTGTGTCCTTTTACCAATTCCTCCTTTTCCTCCCTCTCCTCATCAACATCATATCTGTTTACTTAAAAAAATCAAGGAATTGTTGTGATTGTTGTGTCTTCCCCACATTGGTTTATATATTTACTTTTTTTTTTTTTTTTATCTCCCACAAATAAGTGAGAACATGCGGTATTTCTCTTTCTGTGCCTGGCTTATTTCAATTAATATTATTTTCTCTAAGTCCATCCATGTTGCTGTAAATGGTAGTATTTCATTTTTTTTAATAGCAGAGTAGTATTCCATTGTGTAGATATACCACATTTTCCTTATCCACACATCTGATGATGAGCATTTAGGCTGGTTCCAACTCTTGGCTATTGTAAATAGCATTGCAATAAACATGAGAATACAGCTATCCCTTCGACATGATGATTTCCATTCCTCTAGGTATATTCCCAGCAGTGGAATACCTGGGTCATATGGTAGATCTATCTGTAATTGTTTGATGAACCTCCACACCATTTTCCATAAAGGCTGCACCATTTTGCAGTCCCACCAACAGTGTAGGAGTGTTCCTTTTTCTCCACATCCTTGCCAGCATTTGTCATTCTCAGTCCTTTGGATATTAGCCATCCTAACTGGAATGAGATGATATTTCAAAGTGGTTTTGATTTGTGTTTCCCGAATGCTGAGTGATGTTGAGCATGTTTTCATGTGTCCTTTGGCCATTCATATATCTTCCTTTGAGAAATGCCTATTCAGCTCTTTTGCCCATTTTTTAGTTGAGTTACTTGCTTTTTTGCTGTTAAGTGTTTGAGTTCCTTGTATATTCTGGTTATTAATCCTTTGTCAGATGTATATTTTGCAAATATTTTCTCCTACTCTGTTGGTTGTCTTTTTGCTCTGTAAATTGTTTCTTTTGCTGTGCAGAAGCTTTTTAGTTTGATACAATCCCATTTCTTTATTTTTCCTTTGGTTGCCTGTGCTGAGCAAGTTTTTATTTATTTCTTGGCCAGTCCTATTTTTTTATGAATTGCCTGACCATTCTTTGCTCGTTTATCTCTTGAATTTTTGACATTTTCTTTGTTGGCTACATCTATTTTAGTTCATTCTTTATCTGTGCTGCCAAATACAGTAATTACTAGCCACTTGTGGCTATTTAAGTTGTTTAAAAATAAGTAAAGTTTAAAATTTAGTTCCTCTGTCATACTAGCCATATTTCAAATGCCTAGTAGCCTCTTTGACTATTAGCTACCATATAGGACTGGGCAGATATAGAACATTTCTATCATCACAGAAAATTCTACCAGACATGCTGCTTCAGATAAAATGTAATCTGACATTACATTTTAGTAGTACAGGTTAGTTATTTGAAAAATTATTTAGCTGTCTGTATTTTTAATGAATTAAACAATTCTAAATAAAGACTTTATGTCTAATCATGCTTAGTAGAGAATTATTCAGTCTGATAAATGGTTTTCCCACCTAATTTTATTCATAACGTTTATGCTAGATAGCCAATATATTCCTTCTTCTATAAAATTGTATACATACCAAGAAGACATACAAGGTATTATGACATGGGGTAATAAAAATTTGGTCATAAGCATAAAAGATCTTGACTTCTGAAGAAAAATATATAACTTTGGGATAGCTGGTTTTGAAGAAAAGACTCAATGCTATTTTTAAATTATGAGACTTTGGCTGGCAGGTTAGCTCAGTTGGTTAGAGTGTGGTACTGATAACACCAACGTCGGCAGTTTGGATCCTGATACAGGGCCAGCCTCCAAAAACAAACAGAAAAAACAAATAAAATTATGAGACATCCTTCCCTGAAAAGATAAATGAAAGTAAACCATAACCTCTGGACTCATTTTAGATTTAAGTTAACTGTTTTGGGTGAAATACATTGTTTTAAGTTAGAGTCTGATTTGTTAGTATTCACCTTACAATTGCAGGAACATGATGAAGTGTGCCTGGCTGGAGTGGCCCAGATGTCCATAAGGATGGGAGACATACGCAGAGGGGTTAACCAAGCCCTCAAGCATCCCAGCAGGGTCCTTAAGAGAGACTGTGGAGCCATATTGGAGAATATGAAGGTATTGTTTTCTCTGTATAAATATTCATGTGGTCTTGTACACAATGAATTTCATATTTTAATAATCATATATTATTTTAGCAATTTTCAGAAGCAGCCCAACTGTATGAAAAAGGTCTCTACTATGACAAAGCAGCGTCTGTTTACATCCGCTGTAAAAACTGGTAAGGGTTGTCTACAGTTCGTTTCTGAGCGGGTTTGGAAATGAGCATGCCCAGTGGCCTCCCCTGCTCCTGCTGTCTCCTGCTGCTCTTCCACCCTGTCCGTTCTGTTCCTCCTATCTGGGCCTGCCCTCCATCTCTGTTTTTTCTTCATAGATGAGTTCATAGTAATAGTTATTTTCCCACAGAACACCACATTCTGCTGGTTTGGTGTGGGGAAATCCCTGATCAGATAAATTACAGGAAAAGAACAAACAGGCAAACAAACAAAACCCTATTGTCCCAAAAGAGTTAATGAATTAAAACTTTCATTTTACCACCCTCATGGGGGTAGGTGTTAGGAGAAAAAGCAATTAAATCTGGTTTTACCTATAGGAGCCAAGATTTTTGAAAGATCATGATAACTATTTTTTTAATCCTAAAAACTAGTATTGATTGTAGGAAGCTCCTTTTGGAGTGAATTTAATACTGATATTATTCTCCCGAACCTACTTTTATAGGGCAAAAGTTGGTGAGCTTCTGCCTCATGTTTCTTCTCCCAAGATCCACTTGCAGTATGCCAAAGCTAAAGAAGCAGATGGAAGGTTTGTATAATTTTTCATATTTAGACAAATTTAAAATAATGTAAGTTTTGTAAATTAACAGTTGATATTTGCACCCCTCTAAGAAAGGCAAAACAGAGAAAGACAGAAACCATCTTAATATACCCTTTACTGGCCTGAAGTGCCAGACTATTAAAATCTTCCTATACCTCAGTTCTTCCTTTATGTATTCAAATGTAGACTACTATCCCTTTTTATTTTAGAGTTAAGTACTAGAAGTTGAAATTTTGATATAATATGGCATGAAAATAAAGTTGAGTGATCATTATTTTATTAAGGAAGATAATTTAGGGAGGTGCAGAGGGAAAGAAAAGTGAGGAAAGGTGAATTCGACACAAATGGCTGCACTGTTTAAGGCATAAAACAGTGTTAAAATATAGGAATGGATGGGTGTTATCCTAAGTATACAAATATCTCCTGCAGCTTAATACAAGAAACTCGAAGACACTAATAGGAAAATGGGCTAAAAACAAGAAAACAAGTCCCAGAGGAGGAAATACACTTATGAAATTGTATTTCATGTAAACATGAGAAAGCCCTACCACACTATAATAACTGAATTAAAGCAGTCTATCATATTTGGAAAGGTTTATTTTAATCTAATCACCATACTGTCAAAGTGCCTTTCTTATATGTGACTGATGGAAATGTAAATTTCTATAGCCTTTGTGAAATAACTTGGAAATATCTTTTAAGAGACTTTTAAAGGTTAATACCCTCCACTTTTAGAAAAGTAAGCTTAGGAAATAGAGATCCATACTAAATGTTTTTTTGAAATGGAAAGAGCGAGGGAGCTAGTCAGAATTGAGAAGAAGTCCTGAGCTCCATCTAGAGGTGAATATGGGAAGATTTTATATGTCACCATTAATCTACATGTATAATTGTGAAAAAAATCTGTATTTTTGTTTTCTAAAATAATCCTATATTGCTCTCATAATTTTCTCACTCAAAAAGGAAAAAAAAAAAAAACCAGTAAAATGTAAAAAAGTTGGGCCGGCCCGGTGGCGCACTGGATAAGTGCGCCGCTTGGGAAGCGCGGCGGCGCTCCCGCCCGAGGGTTCGGATCCCACATACAGACCGGTTCCCGCTCACTGGCTGAGCGAGGCGCGGGAGCAGCACCGAGGGTTGCAATCCCATTGCCAGTCCCCGGTCCGGTACGGGGGCAACACTGAGGGTTGCAATCCATTGCCGGACACGGAAAAAGACAAAAAAAAAAATGTAAAAAAGTTATATATCTTTGATTCAGATGAGAAAATTCAGTATTGGTATTTATTTGACTGTTAGTTTATCAAACCCCTAAAAAGAACATATTTTACTGAGATGTTTCCAAGTATTATTTTTAATGAAGCAAAAAGAAGTTCAAGAAAAATAAGCAACCATAATCAATAAAACAGAAAAGTGTTCCAAACATTTATTGACATTTCCCCCCAAATTGACAGTGCTAAGAAAGTTTATCTGAATGAAGTATTTCTTAACAGATACAAGGAAGCCATAGTGGCTTATGAGAATGCAAAACAATGGAACAGTGTAATCCGTATCTATCTGGATCACCTCAATAATCCTGAAAAAGCTGTCAGTGTTGTCAGAGAAACCCAGTCTCTGGATGGAGCCAAAATGGTAGCCAGGTAACATAATATATTCATATTTTTGGACTTGCAAAAACTAACTTTAAAAGAAAGCCCCCATCTACCCTCATCAAGTAAAGAAATTCAAAAGGAATATTTATTCTTTTTGATTTTTTTAATTAGGTGCAGGTGTTTAAATTCATAGGCTGTTTGTTGTGGTCAGCTTATGAGAGTATTTTTTCAAGTATATACATATAATGTAGAACTGCAGTTTACCTGATAAATTTTTTTTTATATATATTTTTTGGGGTTTTGGTTTTTGTTTTGTTTTTTTTGGCAACTGGCCCATACGGGGATCCAGTATTTTTTCAAGTATATACATATAATGTAGAACTGCAGTTTACCTGATAAATTTTTTTTTTTATATATTTTTTGGGGTTTTGGTTTTTGTTTTGTTTTTTTTGGCAACTGGCCCATACGGGGATCCGAACCTGTGACCTTAGTGTTTTAGGGCTGCGTTCTAATCAGCTGAGCAAACCAGGCAGCCCAAATTTTTATTTTTATATGGCTTCTCGTGACTGAAAAAGATTTAATTTTGTAAATCAAAAACTTATTTTATATAAGAGTCAAGCTAATGAAAGTACTTCGTTTTAGGTTTTTTCTACAGCTAGGTGACTATGGGTCTGCCATTCAGTTTCTTGTCATGTCCAAATGTAACAACGAAGCTTTCACACTGGCTCAGCAACACAACAAAATGGAAATCTATGCAGACATAATTGGTAAATATCATTGTTTTCCCAGATTTCTCTTAAACATTTTTATCATAAAACACTTTAAGATCTAATTATCAAATTGATGTACACACAAGAACACTCTTGGTATAAATGTATAGCATTTATATGTAGGCATACACCTATCTATATGTTACTTGCTAGATTTCAAGATCCCTATTACTTAAAGGTGAGATGGTATTATAAAAAGGACTATTTCCAGAAATCACGGGTTTTGGGGGGTGGGTTCCAAGGGAGGCCAAGATTTCCCAAATCTTGCCATTTATCAACAGTAGTGGTAAAGCATGACTTCAAAATGAAGGTGATAGGGAATGCAGGATGATTTTTGAAAATGTAAATATTTTTATAAATTAAGAAAATTTGGTTATAAATTAGGAATATATGATTACTTTGATGAAGAGTGATATGTACAAGATATGGTTTTTAAAGACTTTGAAGGTCTAAAGGAGAATTTTGTATTCTGAGAATACCTGCTTATAGGTTTTCTTCCCATGTTTGAAATTATTCTTAGAAAGTACTGAAACGACTTTCAGGTTTTCATTTCATAGGTCATGCATACCATTATTTGTATTATTTTGCTTTGTTTTTTATTGTGGTAAAATATACATAAAATTTCCATTTAAAAGTGTACAGTTCACTGGCCTATGTACATTCACATCGTTGTGCAGCCAGCACCGCCGTTCATCTCTAGAACTTTTTCATCATCCCAGACTAAAATTCTGTACCCATTAAATAATAACTCCCCATTCCCCTGTCCCCACCAGCCCCTAGTGACCACTATTCTACTTTCTGTCTCTATGAATTTCACTAATTAATGTTACTTCATAAAAGTGGAATCTTAAATATTTGTCCTTTTGTGTTATTTTGTTTTTTAAAATTCACAAAATGACCATAAGAATTGATAATAGGATTAATGAGAAAATTTTTGTTTCAGTCTTCAAGGGAACAAATTAGTTAAAACATCTTCTAATATCCTGGGAAGTCATTAAGACAGAGAAAATAAAGAGCTAAGAAAAAAAGAAAGTACAGATAAAGCAACCTTAGAATTGCCAATGTTTAACTTGACAGATGACATTTCTGTCCTAACATTACAAATCACCATTGCACTAAAGCATTTAAGTTTTTCTACGTTCATAAGGCTATGGCTTATCTATATAATACATATGTGTGTGTATTTATATAAATATATATTTTTACATATATATGCACATATATATATCACACACACAGTTTTCTTCACCTTTCTTTATGCCTTTCTCTTATAAATTTCATATTTTCCTTGGGCTGGAGGCGCAGGGATGTTGTTGTACTTTAGTAGCCTGCTGGGCCCCCCAACTCCCGTGGGTAAATGTAAACAATGAACTGGGACTCCAGCAGTGTTGGGGTTCTTCTTCCTCTGTGCTTAACATATTTAAGCCTCAAACCAAAAAAAAACCCCAGTCATATCTTAAACTAACATCTACTGGACATTTGAATATCCTCTTCCCTACTTGTCTGACAAATACACACAGACTTGTGTAAATCAGTCACTGTTGAGTAAAGGAAATGGATTATGTTTGTATCGTGATGAACTTTGCCTGATTGTTCTGAAACTCTAGGCAAATCACGGATGAGGTTATAGTCATAGTTCCTGTTGTTTTAAGAAATACCAATGATAAAAGTCTCAAAGTGTAATGGCAAACTGTCACCCAGATTCTCAGATAAGCCTCATAATTTTCTCTCCTGATTCCTGTTCTGAATAAAAAAAAAGGTGGAACAGAGTTAATACTTAGGGTAATTATGATGAATATATTTGGGGATGAAAACAGACACTAATAATAATATTGATGTTTGCTGTTAAGTGTTTTTAATCACCTATTTTTAGATCACCTGTTTTTAGGTCTTATTTTTAGGTTGGCAATAAAATGTAAACAAGTTTTGCTCCGATATTTTATTCAATGAACTTCTGTCGTAGGTTCTGAAGACAATACTAATGAAGATTATCAAAGCATTGCCTTATACTTTGAAGGAGAAAAAAGACATTTTCAGGCTGGAAAATTCTTCTTGCTGTGTGGCCAATATTCACGAGTTAGTATTTGCCAAGAAAACATACACTGGTCTCTGCAGGAATGATTACTGGAAATATTTGTAAATGCCAGTACTCTCCTAAACACCCAGATTTGAAATCTCAGCACCAGTTTTGAAATCTTCCTCTCCCTCCCACACCTAATCACAATCTTCCTTTGTAATATCTCTCACATCAGTCCCTTTTCATTGTAGCTACTATCAACTCAATCCAAGCCCAGCTTTCCTGGCTTCTGATTATTGCAATAGTTTCCAATTTTCTAGTTTTTAGTTTCTCTGCCTGTACCTCATCCTTTATTTTGTTCCCCAAATAGTACCTGCTTTCATTGTTGAAGAGCCCTTTTGCCAAAGGCAGGGGTTATAATGTCCAAACAGGGGACATAGTAAGTGAAGCTGTGGGATAAAGCTGTGCGTTGATTGCGTGGCAGGGTCGGGACTACTAGATGGCATGTGTTTTATCTGAAGGGGACAGCTGCTGCTTACTTCCAGCAAATTATTGCCATTCAGGAGTTTGGGCCCAGTAGTGCCAGATCATATGACTTCATAACTTCTTATTACTGAAGTCTGGGTCTCCTCATTTTAAAATATGGGCCCAGGTATTTGTATAATACCTCACTGACCAAAGAAAACATATCTGTGTGTGAATTCAGCCTACAGGCCATCAGTTTGTTGCATCTGGCCTCTTAAATTCCAAACTCCTTACCTGGTACTCAAGAGAATTTCCACAATTAGACCCTCTGGCTTGAACTTCCTGATTTGGCATCCTATTTCCATGGGGGTAATCCTACACTAAACTATTATAGCTAGGCCTTTACTCATCCTTGTTCCCCATCTAGATTCCTCTCTGCTCTCTTCACCACCTCCCACAGATAAGACAGAGCAGATAAGGTGGTGCGGTGTTGAGGAATAAGACAATTATGACTTAAAATAATTGGTTCCTTATATTATCATCACATCACAAAGATCTCCCCAATTAGATTGTACATACCACGAAAGGAGGGGCCATATCATACCCTTCCTGGTAGTCTTCACAAGATCTAGCAGAATCTCACATACATAGTAGCAAGTTGTCAGTAAATATTTGTTGAAAGAATAAATGAATGAAAATAATGAAATCTTACTGAAAGGGGGCACATTTTGCATTTTCATTTGATCAGAAATCAGAACTGTATTCTTCAGAGGATAAATTGGACCCTTCCATTTTTAAAACTATACCCAGCCTTGTAAGTATATATTTAAGAACCAGCACTGTGCAAGCCTATGTTTGAGATGAAGATACTTTCACAACCTTTGTGTGTGTGAAACTCTGTTTTTCCTGGTGTGAAAGCAGTCTGAAAACTTTTAATTGCTCTACAATTCTCATTTCAGGCACTTAAACACTTCCTGAAATGCCCAAGCTCAGAAGATAATGTGGCAATAGAAATGGCAATTGAAACTGTAAGTAAACTCTGTCATGAAACTTTCAAGAATGCCAATATTTTTAAAAACGTTTTGATGAAATATGCAAAAGTAGTCACAGTATAACAAACTCCCACATACCCATTATCTGACTTTAACAACTATTAACACATAAACAATCTTATTTTATTCATCCCCCCACCCTTTTTCTCTGCAGTATTTTAAAGCAAATCACAGTCACATCATTTCATTTGTGGGTACAATATCTATCTGAACAATAAGAATCTTTGGGTTTTCTTTTAGGTGTAACTTGCATTCAGTAAAATTCACAAATCTTAAGTATACAACTCAATTAATTTTTTCATATATGTATACCCCCCCAAGATATTTGCCAAGAAAACATACACTGGTCTCCACAGGAATGATTATAGGAAGTATTTGTAAGTGGTAGTATGCTTCTAAACACCCAGATGTGAAATCTCAGCACCAACTTTGAAATCTTCCTCTCCCTCCCACACCTAGTCACAATCTTCCTTCATAGTATCTCGCAGCTGTCCCTTTTCATTCTAACTACCAAGATATAGAACATTTCCAACTCCCCAGAAGGCTCCCTCATGTCACCTCCCAGTCAGTACCCCTCACCAAGAGTAACCACAATTCTGACTTCTAGCCTTGTAGATTGGTTTTGCCTGTTTATGAACTTCATGTAAACAGAATCATGCATATGTACTCTTTTGTGTCGGTTTCTTTCAGGCAGCATTATGAATGCAAATCATCTGTGTTATTACATGTAGTAATAGTTTATTCTTATTCATTGTTGTGTATTATTCTACCATATGTCTATACCACAATCTATTTACTTCTTACCCTGTTAATGGACATTTGGGTTGTCTCCAGTTTAGGCACATTATGAATAAAGTCGTCATAAAACTGTTCACGTCTTTTAGTGTGCATAATCACTCAGTTCTATTGGGTGTATATCCAGGAGTAGAATTATTAGGTCATAGGGTATACACATTTTTAGCAGTAGTAGGTACTGCCAAACATTTCCGTCAAGGTTATTGCACCAATTTATACTCTAACAGCAACGTAAGAGAGTTTTAGTCACTCCTCATCTTCACCAGCACTCATCACTGTAATTCAGTTTAACCATTCTAATGTGTAGTGGTTGGTATCTCATCATGGTTTTCACTCATTTTTCTAATGACTAATGATATTGAGCACCTTTTTATTGTTTACTGGCCATATGAATATCCTCTTTTATGAAGTGCTCTTCAAGTCTTTTCCAATTTTGAATTGTATCAGCTCATCTAATTCTTTTTTTTTTTTTTTTTTTTTTTTTTTTTTTTTTTTT